TGTTTGTGGCTTCGTTTGATAGACGTGGTATATGAATAGCTTAGAATACAATAGCTTTTGAAGACCTAAGTATAGGTTGGACGTCAGCTTCAGAAACACAGTTCTCATACTTATAATATCTACCTGGTTCCAGAGATATACTAAAATCTTTACCATTATTATTATTTTTTTTTGGTTTGGGGGATGTTACTACATATATTTCAAAATCCCTCTTTTTGATCTGTCGAACTCCTATTCACACTCCTATGGGGTTAGCATATTATAGTTGAATATGGAGAAGCTGATTTTGATGGCTGCCATGTTTGTTGGTCATATCTTTTGTGCTGAAGGAACTCCTTTGAAAGCTGTGAAGCTCCATCTACATCTATATTTTCATATTACGACTTATTCTATTGGATGTGAAGCGGTATGTTATCTTGGAATTGTCTTTGCTGTATAATCAAGTTATAAGCCAACGATTGTGAAATGTGGTGCCAGTACCATGCTCGTCCACTTTCAGTCCTGCCAGGAACTTCAATATTTTTATCCTTTTGTGTTGTTTTTAAAAGGTTCGGTCTCAACCAGAGCCGTCATCTGGTCAAATCCCAAATTAACTTTTCTGGGCTTGTGAACTAGCCTTCTCGCCTTGATTGGGCTTTGAGGTTTTTTCCCCTTTTTTGGAATATCAAAGGGAGATTAGTCACCACAGAAAATCCAAAGCCCCTTTTTATCGATGGGAATTGATGCGTTAGCAAAAATAAAGGGGCACAATTTTTTAAATGAAAAAATTATACAAAACGTATCTGAAAAGGCGGAGAAGATTGGACGGTATTCGATGCGAGAAAAGAAAAATTAGTAACGTTTTTTTAAGTAAAATAGAAAGTAATTCTAAATGAGATAATAAGAAAAAATGTACTTATTTATTAAAGTAATAATTTAATTTTTATTCTTGAGGAAAATAATGTACTTTCCTCCGAAAAAAAGAAACCATTTTTTTATTTTTGTTAATTATTATTTAAATAACATTATTGGACCTTCAAAGTTGAAAGAAATTATGTAGTAATAATAAAATAAAAATTATTACTACAATTAAGGTGCTATCTTTTTTTTGTCAAAAAATCTCTCCGGTTATTATATTTTTTAATTTTATTCAATTTAATCTTTATATTTAAAATCAAAACAATTTAGTCATTAATTTTGAGAATGGCATCAATTTAATCATTTCTTCCAACGACATCCAATTTTATCGTTAAAAGATGACATAGTACTGATGTCAATGATGATATCAATACTGACGTATCACATTTTGATGAGATGATATGCTACATGGCATATAGTGATGACGTGGCAGTGTTGATGTGGTACTGACATGCTGACATGTCCATGCCACGTAACAGATTAAAAAAATTTTCAAAAAAAATTCTTATCAAGTCATAGGAATTAAATTGAGCAAAAATATATAGTATAAGGACTAAATTGAATAAAATTACAATGTTAAGCGACTAAATTAAAAAATATTTTAAACCTACAAATCTTTAAGTAGATTATTGATATGTTTATTAACAAGTTAAATATTTAAGTGTAAAAGATTTATAATATTAAATATATATATAAATATTTTCTTACTTGATTATTTGATTTTAGAATATTTAAATTAATTTATATTTTTTACAAAAATTAAGCTTGAATACTCTTTCTATAAAAAAAATTTAAAAAAGAATATCACACTTGAAATCAAATTTAGATGAATAACTTCTATTACATTAACATAAAATAATATAAAATGATTAAATAATTTTTTTCTTCCATTTAGAATAGTATAAAAATTTAAAATTTATTTAACTTAATTTTTAACTTGAGTTAAAATAAAATTAGGGGTATATTTTGATTTAATTTTTTCTTTTAAAAAAATAAAAAATGGAAATATGGAGCTAGCCATTATTATAAAAATAATTCTTCTTTTTAACTTGCTTAATATGAACATTACAAACCTCTTATTACAATCATAGAATTTGAGCTTCTCCATTCTAAATTTTTATTTATTTTTTATGTTTTTATTTTATTTAATATTTTAAGTTATAATTTTTAAATTGAAATTTCTTAGATTAAAATTGTATTTATAATTGATAAAATTAAATATAATTATAAATATTTATACCATTTTATTTTATTAACAATTTTTTTGTAGATCCAAATTAAAAATTTAAA